CATTCCATTCCATTCCATTCCATTCCATTCCATTCCATTCCATTCCACTCCACTCCACTCCACTCCACTCCACTCCATTCCATTCCATTCCATTCCATTCCATTCCATTCCATTCCATTCTTTATTGCTGTTGAGTCAGAAGCAACTCATCACAGGTCCTCTTTTGACTTTCTGAGACTGTAAATCTCATGAAGTAATATTATCTCTCTTTCTCACGTAGCACCTATGTTGGATTCACTAACTCCCTAATAATTACACGAAATAGAGCTCCACCTCCAGAAGAACTGGTGCTTCAAATTCCTCAACAGAGGAAAAGCCACATCTTCTCAACTTTCCTACCATATCTCAACCACAAAGCTATGTTTGTTTTAACCCTGCATTATCCTTATATCATTTGATACCTGGTAGATACAACCTTTTTTTAAAAAAACCATTTGGTATATAAGTGCTTCGAGTTGAGAGGTATCATCTTCTTATACATATTAGAACCTTAGGGAATTCTGGTGGCCTGGTGCGTAACAAGTTGTGCTGCCAACCCAAAGGCAGGTGGTTCAAATTCACCAGCTGCTCTATACTTTTTATAACTGCAGTTTATAGCTTCTGAAAACCTGCTGAAGAGTCCGCTATGAGTTGAGCTATGACTTGATGGCACCTAACAAGAACAACAATAACATGAACCTCAAGTTTGGCGGTTCAACCCCTCCAATGAAACCATGGAAGAAAATCTTGGCAATATGCTTTTATAAAGTCGAAAGCCAAGAACGTGGACTGCCATGAGTCAGGCTTCGCAGGATAGCAATGGATTTGGTGTTTGGTTTAATTTTTTATTTGCCTTGAACATGGTAAATAACACCTGCTTATTTTGAAGTTAAAAATTTTAATATAAAAACAAAACATCATGGACAATCAAGAAGAAAAATATGCATAGGAGGGAAACATGTCATCCGTATTACTGTCATACCTCTTAGAAATGGTCATAATCTTTTTTTATAGAGCTTTATCTGAATTCACCATGTCAGATTTTCCATAAGAGGTGGATTTAAGAGTCAAAAATGTTTATTTACATTGTACACCTTCTACAGCTCTCACCTCTTCAGAGAGCAAGCCTTTCTAGTTATTCTTTTAAAGGCAGCAAAGGATGCCATTATCAGCTGTTTCTGATTAACAACCTCCCCTGGCTGCTTGAGTAAATGACTCAGCACCTGAACTTTTCATGGAGTCAGTTCTTTTGAGTCACAACTACATTTAAAAAAAAATCACTTAACACTATTCTACAAGTTCAACATCAACATTTCTTCCTTAGCCTTTATTCTAAAGTCCAAAATGATCATGTTAGAACTTGTTATTACCCTTTAAAAAAATGACTGAAATGAGTGGGCCAGGGTTTCTGAGGCAATCAGTCTAGGGAACAGTTAACAACGTTTTCCAGTTTGAGAAGCCTTTTTTTAATAACAGATTTTTTAGAAACCTCAGATAATTGCGGCTAGACATTTAATACTGAAAAATAGAAATGCATTGTTGAGAGAAGTTTAAAAGGAATATTGGAAATGGATACGCTAAAGTAGGAGACTTTCTTAAAATTACAATTTTAGTTCAGGAGTAGTAGTCCTCCCCACTTTTATTTTCCGGGCTATATTCTATAATCTGTATGAAGCCAGAAAACCAAATCAAGAACAAACAAAATATGTTCTGGAAAGGGTGCAGCCAAAGTACTCTTTGGAGGCAAATATGATGAGGCTTTGCCTCACATATTTCAAGCGTGTTGCTGGGAGGGTCTATTTCTTAGAGAGGGACATGATGCTTAGAAAGGCAGAGTGTCAGTGAAGGAGAGGAAGACCCTCAACCAGGTGGAT